ATAATTAAATAGTAATTAAACCTATTTTTAAAATTTTAAATAAAATCATTATGAACAATGATTTTATTTAAAAAGATTTATTATTATAAAGTATAAACAAAAATAAAATTTTAGTCATTTATAGCAAAATATCAACATAAAATATTTAATATGTTTTTAAGAAGATTACTGATATTAATTTTTTTTTAAGAAATGAATTTATAAATAATAATTTTTAATTATTTTACTTATTAGAACAAGTACTAATTAACATTATTAAAAGAGAAATATTAAGAGATAATAATTTAGTAGTTTTAATTACTAACTTAGACCCAATAACATGTATAAGATTTTATAAAACTAAGAAATGGTTGAAAATAATTTATTACTTCTAGGAGTTAAAAATTATAAACGGATGCTATAATTTAATAAAAAATCAATATTTGTTCATATAAAATCCTTTTATGTAATGATTAATAAAATATAACATAATTAGAAATTATTATTATTAATAATCAAATTTGTAAAAAGGAATAAAAGAAACTTAAAGTAAAACTTTATAAACAATAGAGTTAGTTTTCTTTTTATAAAGATTCAGATGAATATATAATTATATTTAGTAATAATTTAGAATAATTTAAAGTTAATAATAAAATTAATATTTTATTTTACAATCATAAAGATTAATAGCTTAAATTATAGTAGAAAGCAAAACATTTTAATATAAACAACGATGAATATTTAAAAATTTATTTTTTAGGTACCTCAAATATCAAAGTATATTTTTTATTTAATAAAATTTTAACCAATAAAAAATTGTCATATGTTTCAAAAGTCACAGAATTAATAAACGGGTATATTTCTTGAACAGTTATAATCCAGTTATTATTACATTGAAAAGCACAATACTCATTCTTTAAATAATCTACAGGAATTTCATACTTTTCATCGAAAGAAGTAATTGAAGGTTCCAAAACTAATTCTTCAAGCAAGTTATATTTTGTTAAATCATCGGGCATCAATTTAAGATATTCTTTTGAAATCAAAAACATAGATCGCATG